TGTAAAGATATGCAACCTTATATTTTTACATGTGACTCTACTCTTTACGAATAATGGGGACTAATAGTGTAAAGATATGCAACCTTATATTTTTACATGTGACTCTACTCTTTACGAATAATGGGGACTAATAGTGTAAAGATATGCAACCTTATATTTTTACATGTGACTCTACTCTTTACGAATAATGGGGACTAATAGTGTAAAGATATGCAACCTTATATTTTTACATGTGACTCTCCTCTTTACGAATAATGGGGACTAATAGTGTAAAGATATGCAACCTTATATTTTTACATGTGACTCTACTCTTTACGAATAATGGGGACTAATAGTGTAAATATATATAACCTTATACTTTTATTTGTGACTCTCCTCTTTAAGAACTTAGCTACACGAATTTGTACAAGAACGTAAAAAACGCTATTGAAAAAGACGGGTTAACCTGATCCTTAGTAGTATATTCCTTGCCTATCGTATGGAGATATAACAGAAAAGTTTGAAATAACTAAACTTAACAGCCAGTAATAAAATTTCTAATAAGCACATAAGTTAGATAATAAATCAAATTATTGAAACACCCATTCAAGAAAAAACAACAACAAAAATTAAAACGTCGTCTATCATCAGATAATTACGTAGGTTGCTACTTTTAATAAAGTTCAACTGTATGTTGACTGCCTAATGTGTCTTTAAACTCAAATGTAACCATTAATCCAATAATGCCTAGTCTGCATTTTTTCGCTGACTAACAGACAAGCAAAATCATCTGGCGAAAGTCACCATTCGGTTCAGCAAATATCGGCAATCAAGAGGTTATATGATACTAAGATTTAATATTGATAACACAGCAAAACGTGACCAAAACACCAAAATACCTTGCCAACACCGAATCCATCCCTTCGACTTGCTACTCGTAATAATGCGGGAGGGGCGGGAGGAGGGGTTGTTCTAATGATGACGGAGAAATTTGTCTGAAACACAGACGTGTCTGAGTCATAGTCGCCGTAATGTCTTCTCTTTTTCTTAACTGCTAAATTTAATCGCTGGGTTGCCCTACAGAAAGAGGTCAACATAGAGGTTAATTAGTCTGAAACTTGTATTTATGAGGAATCAATTTTCATAGTAATTAAACAAATGAATAAAGTATTAGCAATAATTTACATTACAACAGGATCTAAGTTTAAAACAAATTACATTTGTAAGTTAACATCGAAAGTAAGGATGAAAGAGAAAAAAATATACTTTACTCCAACAAATAACTCTTTAAGTTCAGTTTACATTTTGTTTTGCTCATTAGTCCAATACCGCGGTGAACACTTTACTCTGTATCTCATTCCACAATATTATGTAACTGAATATTATTCAAAATTTGGAGGTTTAAAGAGCCTGCGAATACAATTTTTTAATTGTTACCGATTGCCCCAACACTTACACTAAATTGATGAGGCTTAATTCTGATAAAAGAGTTAGCACACAGGATCACACACAAAAGGTGTAACGAATTAAAAAAAAAGACCCAAAACTTTTTTTTAATGCATAGTTGACCATTTTTGTTCAGGAGGGAACTATTCGAAAGCACTCGAGTGTTGAGTGTTTTTTTTTACATTCATTGATGAGGTTTAAAATACTGCTAATATAAATTGGTGATATAGTGACTGAGAAAGCTAAAACAATATGTGTTGAACGTTTTTAGAACAAGTAAGTCAAATTCTTACAATACCAAACAAACAACTCTTTAATGGCATGTCAAAATGTCACCGCTTTAAAAATATTTACCTGTATACAAACCTACTGGCCCCCTTGTGGCACAGCGGTATGTCTGCGGACTTACAACGATACAATCCGGGTTTCGATACCCGTGGTGGGCAGAGCACAGATAGCCCATTGTGTAGCTTTGTGCTTAATTACAAACAAACAGACCTACTGACAACAGATTGTACAAAATCAGGTTAACTACGTTTAAGCATTTATCGTGTAGCTAAATATCTGAATTAAGTCGTTTTGTTTCAAGATATTAGACTTTAAACATAACATGTACTGCTAACTATAACTCTTTCTCAGAATTTTATTAGTTCACGTAAATTTGAAAAGATAGAGAAATACGTCAAATGATTTACACAATAAACCGTTGTGTTTTAACCATTGAATCCATTTGTCTTCTGGATCCTTATGAATGATTTTGTAGGAACGTAAATCGAAATGTTGCAATACTATGTAGTTTGGTTTTAAGAATGAGTACAATTGAAAGTTCGTGTTACTGTTTTTATGTTTTCCTATGCCTAAAACAAACTTATTTATAACTGTTAATATTTCACAGTGAATTTATTGTAAATGCTCACAAATTGACCATTGTATTCGAAACCTTTCACATTTTTCAAACACTCCAATTATTTTCAGATCCATGCAAACTGGTAGTGTATAATACTAGTCTACAAGAGCAACAGTCTTTATGATTTTCAAAGGGGCGTTTTAGTTGGTATCCCTCTAAGAGCTGTTCAAAGGTATCTGTCATAGGGATATATCATGTAGCAGCGGAAATTGGTAGTGAATGTGTTGGCTACTAGAAAAATATCTGTGGTTGTCAAGTGTTATAGTAGACTGGGGAAAAGACGCCTTGCGGCAGGCTTGTAAAATAAATGGTCATGAGGATTTATCTTAATTGACCAGTTGGACCCGTTTATTTTGTTAGGAGGGGAAAAAATTCACATAGTGTTTAGCTGAACAATATTTTTAGGCTTGTCCATTTCATATTGCTGGGCCAGGCGTGGCCTAGCAATTAGTATGCCGGGCTATGGATCTGATAGTCCATAGTTTGTGTCTCTTTACCGGAAAAAATGTGCTCAGCCATGGGTGCGTTACAAGTGTGGCGATCAGATCTCACTATTCGATTACAGTAGCTGAAGAGTTGGCATTGGATTCTATTGACTAGCTGTCTTTAATCTAACCTGTCAGTTGAAAATTAGGAACGACTAGCGTAGATAACCCTTGTATAGCTTTGCATGAATACCTGAAACAAACAAACTCACATTTTAACGCTGAAGAATAAGTCCCAGAGAACAATAAAATGGTCAACATTTGATCGAATAACATAACGATGACTTTACCCACTTTCCTTTGCCAGCTCAGACATTAGATTTTAATCTGATTGAACTTCATTGCAACGAACATGTACGCCAAACTCTGCATCGTAATGTTTTACAGACATTTCTAAAACAGTTGCAAATTACACTCCTCGACTAATGGATTACCTTCCAGCAAGACACATTTTGAAATCTGGCGGAATCTGTGCAATGATAAATTCAGTATGTTATTTAACTAAAAGGGGTCCAACCGGATATTAAATGATGATTATAGTAATATAGCTTATCAATGTCTGTACCCTATTCGCTTATTCTACAAATAAATGTGCACGACACTGATCCTTTTGATACAAACTTGCCTGTATTCGATTTTAAGAAGAATTTTTCATGAGATGGCTCTATGTGCTAGTATTTCTTATAAAGACTATGATAAAGTAATAAGAAACATATTTAAAAAATAAACAAACTTATTGAATAACATGAAGAATTTCTTGGCGATGTTCTATGGTGGATGTTTTGTTTTTTTGTGTTTTCTATGGTACGTAAACCTTATTGTTAATTGTAAAGATCCGAAACTTTTCTTGTTTTGTTGTTTTAACCTTGGTATTTCCAAGACTCTTCGCGCTAGCGTCTTTCATCGAGCTCCGAACACAATGATTAAGTGCATAAAGTGTGGCTGTCCTTGGTGTGGTTCTCACGACACCATAGGGTTAATTATGTAATGATTCCTCTCTGTATATGATGTGTAACGAAGGGAAATAGGTGTATAGTTTGAAGGTTGATATCTAGTTTAGAAACCTTTCGGTTTTTTTAAAAGAACTTAAGAGATTAAAATATGTATAGAAGAATACTGAGAATAAAAATCGATAAAATATTTTAAATTTCAAGACGATACACTTTTGAAAACTTATTTTTGTCTTTACATTCCCTAATCCCTTCCTCAGAAGTGATTTTTGTCTTTACATTCCCTAATCCCTTCCTCAGAAGTGATTTTTGTCTTTACATTCTCTAATCCCTTCCTCAGAAATTATGTTTGTCTTTACATTCGCTAATCCCTTCCTCAGAACTTATTTTTGTCTTTACATTCTCTAATCTCTTCCTCAGAAATTATATTTGTCTTTACATTCTCTAATCCCTTCCTCAGAACTGATTTTTGTCTTTACATTCCCTAATCCCTTCCTCAGAAGTGATTTTTTGTCTTTACATTCTCTAATCCCTTTATCAGAACTGATTTTTGTCTTTACATTCTCTAATCCCTTCCTCAGAAATTTTGTTTGTCTTTACATTCGCTAATCCCTTCCTCAGAACTTATTTTTGTCTTTACATTCCCTAATTCCTTCCTCAGAACAGATTTTTGTCTTTACATTCCCTAATCCTTTCCTCGGAACTTATTTTTGTCTTTACATTCTCTAATCTCTTCCTCAGAAATTGCCCCCCAGTGGCACAGCGGTATGTCTGCGGACTTACAACGCTAGAATCCGTGTTTCGATACCCGTGGTGGGCAGAGCACAGATAGCCCTTGTGTAGCTTTGTGCATAATTAAAAACAAAACATCCTCAGAAATTATATTTGTTTTTACATTCCCTAATCCCTTCCTCAGAACTTATTTTTGTCTTTACATTCTCTAATCTCTTCCTCAGAAATTAAATTTGTCTTTACATTCCCTAATCCCTTCCTCACAAATGATTTGTACTAGCTTATTAAAGGCAGGAGTAAAAAATTCTCTGGGGATCCAATCGGTGGTGGAAGTCTTACTTTTTTACATATAGTTAGTTTTATATGTCAGCTGGTGTTTCTTACGTTATATATTTCCATAAATTAGCATAACTTATTCGAGCATTTAGCTTAATTTTTATATAAAGATTAACATAACTTATTAAATCCTTTTGCAGTATGACAGTAGTCTGTTTCTGAGAAAATCGGCGTAAACGAGAAGAATCTGATTTTGGATACACGAAACAAAAATAAAATGAAAAATTAAAGACCAATTTTTGAAATGACTATATTTTTAACCAGACGATGTCTGAGCTTTATATGTGATAAAGTTATAATTTAATGAAGTCAATATAATCCAATATGTATAGCAATTCATTGAGGTTATAGTTCATGAGAAATTTAACCTTGTCAAGGAACAGGGAATCAATGATAGCAGATATGCAAGCAAAGAGTTTTTATGCCTTTTGTAAGTAAATTCTGTTCTTTCTTTAATGTTAGTTTCATAAACAGCAATGATTATAATGATTATACTAAAATCATTTGACTATTGAAACACTGTTTAAAAACAAAAAAATGGATATAGACGGGATTGAAGCCTCGAACGTCCTCATATGAAGCGTCAAATGTGCGCTATATAACAAAGCTCAGATATTTTTTTTTTTTTTTACATATTCAACATTATTAAGCGGAATACTTTATATACGAAAATGATATGTGTCTTGAATAATGATGCTGTTGTATTATGTAATTGGACACGAATGGAACCAAAACCTACTCAGCAGAATACGGATTTCCTGTATTTAGATTTAAAGTGAAGAAGTGTAAAAACGGAGAATGATTATAAACGAAACATATCTTTATAACATTTTGTGTATAAATATCTTGTCTTTGTGGATAACCGCCATCTTTGACTAAGATCTTGAGATTTGTTCTAGATCGAACTCTTGATAAAGTGATGTCATAAAATAGTAAATTTTTAGAATTATGGTATCAAGAAGTGTAAATTCAACTGTCTTCGTTTGTCGCTATTTCACATATTGTTCTTTTTCCTTCTATAATGGTATCAAGTCTTTTATTTTTTTACTCGCCCCTAAAGTGTAATTAAAGCGTCGGATCTACTACCACCAATAACGGAAATGATGAGATATTTTATTCCCCTAGCGAGTAAATTTGTTCTTTGCTACGAAACGTATTTAAAGTTTAGGCCTAATTGTTGATTTTTAGGCACCTGTATTGAGATAGTTGGAAACGTATAAT